TAAAAGTTTTTAATTAAGGCTTAGAAAGTAAACAATGCAGATCTTTTAGAGAAGGTATGCTGATTTTTTCACTTTTTACTTGTTAAAAATATTTCTAAAAAAAATTTAAAGAATGTGAAAATATAGTAAAGTAGAGATCTAATCTAGATAAATTCATTATCTATTTATCCATATCTAAATTTATCCAGATATTTATTTACTATTAGTATCCGGATAATCTAACAAATATTCAAATAATTATCTAGATATCAATAGTAAAACAAATATCTAAATAAATTCAGATCTGAATATTTAATAAATAAATAAATAAATTAATAATGAATAGAAACTTTATAGTAGAGGTTGTCAAAGTTATAACCTTTAAAATTTTCTAATGAGTTTGTTAAAAGGCTCATTTGTTGTTTTCCTATTGTCACTTAGAGGTACTTTATTAACAAAAAACTGATTTGTGTTTTTACCAAAATTTCTTATACAAGGGCTCTAGTTTTTGCCAGTTATCTTGTATAAAGACACTTTTGGCTTGTGTGCTAAATATATAAAGAAATCTCTCCTAGAGCTGTAGAGTTGATCTTTATAAAAACTAATCTCTAGCTATGTAACTTTGCTTGTCTCTAACAATTTTTTGCCTTTTGTTAATTAAAAAATTTTGGTACAAGTAATCATTAAGAAGAGTTGTTTGATTTATAAAAATTACAGAATATTACAAAATATATTTTAAAATATTATATAATATATTTTGAATAATTATAGTTTAGATAAAATATTTTGAAATAAATTATAGAATATTATAAAATAAATTACAGAATATTACAAAATATATTTTAAAATATTGCATAATATATTTTTAATAATTACAAAAAGTATATCATAATATAATAAATATATTACATAATATTATCAGTTATACAATATATCATATATAAATTTTTATATTAAAATTATAATAAAAGATATATAAAATTAGAGAATTTCTATTTGTACACAGGGTGTATATACACGGGTAGTGTAAAAACAAACTGATATCTCAAAATTTAGATTATAAAATCACTTTTTGGCTTCTAACAAAAAAAATTTCTTGTAAATTTTTGGTATAAACTAACCCTTGCTTCAATTCCAAACCCACCCTTATCCTAACCATAAGCAAGGGTTTAATTTTTTATTTATTAAAGTTGTTTTGATCGACATGTTATACAAAATTTGTAATTCAATAAATTATACCTGTGTATAAACACTATATATAAATTAATAAATTTTCATAAAATTATTATAAAATTTGCAGCTTTAATATTTTTCAATTTATATATTAACTTAAAATTAAATTTTGCAATTATATAGAGCATAAAAAAAAATTTTTGCTTTAACTAGCAAGTTATAGCTTTGTTATCTTTATATATTTTAAAAATATAACTTTGCCAAAAATAAAATTTTACTAATTTTAAAGTGATTAATATATATAAAATATTCTTTAAACAACTTTACTTAGAAAATAAAAGTAGAATACTTTGATAAAAAAACAAGTTAGCTATATACTAAAGTAAAAATTTTAGTTTTTCTATATGCAACTTTTTTTTACTTATATAATTTGCTTTAAATAAAGTTATTCAGCATAAAATTCTATACTTTTAAAGTGTTTTTGTTTATTTTTATAAACCTTTTACTAAGTGCAAAATGAGATTAAAATTAAAAAATTTTTTTTTAAAAAAATTTTTATTTAGTGATCTACAAAACTTTTTTTATACTAACAGTTATACAATATGTTGATCCAAATTGATCTACTATAAATTTCTAAAAATTTCTATTATTATTAATAAATGTTTTTACAATACAACTATTTAATTTCATTAACGTATATATTTTTTTTTTAAAAAAAATTTATTCTTTATGCTTAACATTACAAAATAGAAGTTGTTTAGCTTTTTTTCAAGAGATTTCCACCAAATAATCAGGATATTAAGATCAGTATGTATTTTTTGCTTCCCTTTAAGATTATTTTTGAATATGTAAGTTAAGAAGACAAAAAGTGGTTAAAAAGGTTGTGATGAGTTCAAGAAATAATATATTTATTTATTTATTGGATATTACTTTAAAAATTTGTAGAAAATAGCATATAATAATAGCATTACATATATATATAAAGAAAAAGTTTGTAAAATGTCTATTTAAAATCAAAGTAAGTCAATATAAATAGACTTTCTATATAAAGTTGGTTATTAATAAAAATTTTTTAAGTTTCAAGATCATTAAAAACTGAGTTGATATGTAGAAATACGCTATTCAAAAAAAGTAAGTTAAAATGCAGCATCTAAAGAGTTAGATAAAATATACTATTCGAAAAGCATTAGTTAAACAAACATATTGCTAGTTGTCTAATTCTTCTATACTCCATTTTTTTTTTATTTAGGGTAGCTTTTTTTCTAAGAAGGTAAGCTACTAGATCTTTTTGTGCTAGTCCCTTTGTAACATGTTTTTCTTGTTTTAAAATATCTTGTCTAACAATTTTCATAATTATAACTACTCCTTTATTATAGTAAGTAAAAATACGCTTATATCCATTAGGTGTTAGCTGATTAAATAGTTCAAACAGTAAATACTTTTCAGGTTTCTCAGAGATAATCGCTTTATAGAGTGTATTTACTAGTTTTCATAATGCTTCTTTTCAATTATTTTTTGCACACATAGTTTTACTAATACAATTATTATTTAAATATTCTGCATGTAGTGACATTAATCGATCTCTTTTATCTTGGGCTGCCTTAATTACTAGATTTAGGTTTTAGGATCAGTTAGATGTCTAGTTATATTTTGTTTAACAAATTTTATACTAAAATATTCAAGTGCTTCATCAAATGAAAAAAATGGCTATTTGCTATAAGATTTATAGAACTGACTATGTTTTGCTTTTAATACTGGGTTCATTTCTACTGTTATTAAAAAATGGAAAACTGATTCTGCATATCTATTTTTTTCAGTAACAGGAAATAGTAGTATGAAGGCCTTCAAATGTTCATGTTGAACTTTAAAATTACCTACTTGAATGCCAATCTTATTAAGTTTAAGCCAACCTGCCTATTAGTAATATAGATACCAGACTTTCAGAATATTATTATTTGTATTATTAATTTCTGATAGTTCAATGTAATGATTATTTATATACATATAAATGATTATTGCTACAGCTGCCCAGATAAGTTCACAAACACAAAATATTTCATAATAATCGACGATATCTTGAAGTTTTTTTAAGAACTTCATGCCAAGTATAGATGCTAATTCAAATAATCTATAACTGAAAAAAGCAAAAATTAGAGCCCTATACATATCTTTGCTTGTATGCCACTGACCAAGTATAGGATTTAGTTTTAGTTTGACATTGGTATAATCCTTAGGTCTGCAAAAAATAGCTTCATCACATACTATATCTAAAGTATCTCTTTCATTTAAGTCTAGATTTTCTATATATATTTTATAAGTTTTATAAACTGCAAGGTTACTATTTGGTGCTGGTCTAGCCTCCAGTATTACAACATTTGGTTGAAGAATGTTAATTTTTTATTTATTGCTTTTTGAAGTGCATTATTTATATCATCCATAGTGAAATTCGTCGGATAATATGCTATTAATTGATTAAAAATCTGAGTAAGCTTTTCTATCTACTCTTCTACAAATGGACTTTTTCTGCACAGATCAATATCAGAAGCATCTATTGAAGGTATAATATAAAAATTAGGCATTTTGAACTGAAAAACTATGTACAAGGTGGCATGAGCTATACTTTATATTTCATTATACAGATTATCAGCTCGAAATATTTTTTCTTTGAAATCAATATTATCTATTACTGCTAAGTTCCAAATATTTTGTTCTAACTTAAGTTTTTTTTGTGGATTTGCCTCTTTCATACATTGTTTTCTAATTTTTATCTCATAATCTTTTGAATATGTGATTACATTTGCTACATGAAGGACATCACGCAAATATGATGCAAGCTTTGGTTATTCGCAGAAAGATTCAATCACTTGTAGAAGCCAAAATTTCCAACCTCTAAATAGGAGATTTAAAATTATAGAAGATAAAAAGGCTATATTTTTAACTATTTCACTTTTGTCAAATTCAGTTATTTTGCCTTTGCGTTCCTTTTGTTTTTGTCTAACAATTTCATATTTTTTAAGTTTCAAAGTAGAAACAATCTATTAAAAAAGCTTGTTAAACATTTTGGCATTGCTTCATAATACTGTTGTAGGGATTTAGAACTCTCCAATGTTGATTTATAAGAAGCTAAACTGGTTTGTGATCTTAAAATTTCAAGGGCAAGTGATTTTCCAGATTCTTTATATTTCTCAGGTTTTTGTGTAAATTGCTGTTTTGAAAAATCAAATTTTTTAATTTTGAAGGCCATATTAACTACAAATAAGCTAGGAAATTTACTAGATTATTCAGTTGATGAATCAAAATCAAATTTTTCTAAGCATGAAAAAAAAAACTCAAAGTAAATTCTTTTTTGCTCCATCATTTTCAGATTGTGCTACTGTTTTGATTAACCTTAGAAAGTGATAAAGAGCAGATATAGTATCATCTAAATGCATATCAGTACACCCCAAATCTACTTTAATTTCTAAACCTATTCATTTATACAAGTGTCCACTATTCTTTTCGCAATATTGGCAACACATGTAGCAAACTCATTGATAATTGTATATATTTTCTGTGTATGAGCTGCCCTTAATAGCTAGACAGATAACCATTTCATGGCAAGATACTTGTAATGTTTGGTTATATACATTCTACATATGTTCTATACAAGTTGCTTTATAACTAAAAAAAAATTTTTTTTTATTGTAAAAAAAACAAATATGTCAATTAATTTGACTTTTATCAGTTGGGTGTTCACTTTTTAAATTTTCTTTGTGCACAGTATTTTGGTCATAATTAAAATGCCTCCTGCATACTCCAAGAAGTTCAAGCTTGCCATCAATCTCATTAATGGTATCTATATCAATTTCTCATACACCAAGTAGTTCTCTTACACTTTTAGTACTAGTTTCATTACAGTGATGTATCTTCTTATGATTATTATTGATTATAACACATGATGTAATTGGTTTTGCTTTAACTGAAGGAATTTCTTTAATAAATTCACCACCAGTTTCCTTATACGTAGTTTATTTCTTGTAAAACTGGTATGTCTTCTGCATTAAATTTTTTTTATGAATCATTTTCAAGTTTTGTTAAAACTAAGGCTTGCTCATATAAATCTTGCTCGAAGTCAAATATAGGGTCATCATTGTTGTTTTTATTATTTGACAAAATCTGGATATCCACCAAGTATTCTTGTAATTCATCTTGTAAAGATTTAATATCTATTTTATTTGATATAATGATGGTGAAATATTTTATTATGTGTTGTTATGTTTGATATTTATTATTGATGAACTTTTTTATATTTTAAATTTTAAAAGAAAAATATTAGCCGTCTTTACTATTGACAGAGTGCAGGATAAATTAAATATGTAGCTGGTAGGGTAATGAGAACAGAATGATAAGTTATACAGATTATGTACTAGATTCATGAAAAAAAGTCAGATACTTCTGTTTTAATTTTATTAATTATAAAATCAAATTTTGGAAATTTTATTGAAGGTAAAACATTGGAGTTTAAATACATTTACAAATTCTTGCAGTTATTAAATATGAATTTCTTTTTATTTATAGGCAATAGAACTTGAATTATGATTAAAAGAGGAAAAGACACATCTTATTAATCTTTTTAAGAAAAATTTATTCCTGACTACCAAGATGTATCTTAACACAAATCCTTTAATTTCATTAAGAAAATTCCTTTTTTAAACAACCTATTTTCAAGGCATAAAATTCCCAGTATTACCTCAAATTAAAAAGTTCAGATCAAGTAGATGTTTTCTATTGACACTCTTTTGCAAAATCATTAGCATCAGATACCAAAATTAGAAATGATGATAATTCATCATGATATACCTGATACTAAAAAAGGCATAGCTTTGAGTTTAAATATATTTATGAACTCTTGTAGTCATTACTATGAATTTTTTTTTATATACAAGCAATAGAACTTGAATTATGATTAAAAAAGAAAAAGACATATCTTCATTAATCTCTTTGGAAAATTTTTATTTCTAACTACCAAGACATATCCCAATACAAATTTCTCGATTTTATTGAGAAAATTTTCTTTTTTAAACAACCTATTTTCAATTTCCAAATAAAAGTTTAGATTAGGTATATGTTTTTATTAACTTGATACGTTCTTCATAAGATCATTATCAATGGATATCGAAATTAGAAATTATGATACTAAAAGCATATAGCATAGATCTGTCAATCACATTAACAACAATTTTTTTTTGGTTTTAAGGTGAGGCCTTGCTCATATTTTTATTAAATAATTTATATAAGTAATTACATAGAGACTATATAAAGACTTAATTTGTATACAAACAAATAAATATAAATTACATGAAAGAATAGAAGCTCAGACTGATTTATCTGTGACCTAAACCTACTAGAGTGGTCAAGACTCACCTAAATTTGAATAGTTAAAATATGATTAATAGGTATACTATATCTAATCCACATAGTAGATCAAATATTGTGTTTAAGAAAGGCTTGTCCTAATGGAGGGCATGTATTAGAGTTGGAGTGTAGCTGGTCGGCATAGCTACAGGAGCAACTGTATGTATAGATAATTCTGTTTCTGTGCTTTCTAGAGAGTAAAGAAGGCTGAGATATAGTATTGATACGTGATGGGATTTGATGAACTTTTTTCCAGTATGAAAAGTTAGAGCAATAGGGAATCCAGATATTGTTGTAGAGTTGATCAGAAATTTTTAAAAATATTTTGATAATAAGTTGGGAGGCTTAGGAGTAAGAAATTTTGAAAGGGTCCAGAGATTAGATTAGAGCAGTAGGTATAAGACTTTTAAGTGTGAAATAAAAGTGTAGAGGTATAGCTGTGATAGAGAAAAGTTGAAGAAAGGGTGTGAAGTGATAGTGTATATTAGATTATTTAGTTGGTGTGTCGTAAGGTTGTGGTTAGTGTTGAAGATGATATCATAAATTGAGGTGTTAATAGTTTGGGTTAAGAGTGTATTGTCAGGACAGGAGTACCAGTAAGAGGGGGTATCAGGCTGGTTGCATAGGAAACAATTAGAAGATGTAAATATAAAAGGGTAAATAGAGTGAAAATATACATGTGTTGGAAGAATATTAAGAAGCATTTTGATTTTAAAAGATTTTAGATGGTTTAATTTAGAGTTAGTAAAGTTGTGTGATACTTTTTGATTTTTGTTAAAGTATAGCCAAGAAGCTTTCTAGTCGATTAGATAAGAGAAGTGAGCCCATTCATAGGCCCGATGTTGTGAGAACTATAGAGCAATATTCTGAGCTTTTCGAATTGATTTGATAAATTGTCTAGTAGGGCTTTCAATAAAGCTGTTGTTCCATTGCAGAATAGAGAATGGGTTATAAATATTAATATAGTTAAAGTATAGAATTGGTGAGGTAGAGTGGTTATTTGCTAGAAGGTCTGCAAGATTATTAAAAGGGTTGTCAGAATGGGCTTGAACTTTGTGAAAGAAGAGTTAGATATTGTAGGCTTTGAGGATATTAAGAAGTGTGTGCTATATAGGTCAAGTATTGAATTTGAATTGTTTTAGTAAATGGGATGATAAAGTCTGAAGTTTATTGTATTTGGAAATAATAGATTGTGAGTTAGTAAAGATTTCTATAGTTGAGTTGCGAGGAAGTGTAGAAATAGCTAAGATTATTGCTAGTAGTTCTGCTTTGTATGAGGAGGGCCAGTTAAGAATTTGGGTAGAGAAGCTTTGAATAACTTGGTTTTGGTGAACTTGGACCCAGCTAATGCCCATTGAACATTGGTTAGTGCCAAGTTGTTTCATAGAGCCATCAGTGTAGAAAGTAAATTGGTGTTGGGATAGGTTGGATAATGAAATCTCAATTAATTTTGAAGAGGCATCACTGTTATCGAAGATAGCAAGGATGAGTGAGTCAGTTATATTGATATTGATAGTAGGAGGTAAGGGTAAGTTAGTTGGATGTTTGATTTTAGTAGAGCATATAAGGTCAATATTGTTGGCATTGAAGTTAAGTTGTTTGTTGGCTTTTTACCTATCCAAAAAATGAGTAAAAAGAATAGCAAATACTTCTAAGGTACAGCAACTAGATATATGGTTTGAGTTGAGATTACAACCTTGGCAGGGGTGCAGGAAATAGGTGGTAGAGAATAACAGTAGTAAGCAGAAGTGTAAACCTCCATTTACTTATTATATATATATATATATTGAGGCAGATTCAAGCCTAAATACAATTTAGAAAAACAATATAACTTGTCTAGTCCTATACAAGGCAAAAACATTTAATATGAGTATAAAACCATTGTTAGACAAATAGCTTTTTCAAGAAACAGGTCCACCAATTAAAGAAGTTATAGATATATCTATCTTTGTAAGAGCAACAAGAAATATTTATAATCTGGGTATCATCTTCCATAACCAACTTTTTGACAAAGAAGGAAAGAAACTTCTAACATGGCAGTAGCTAAAAGTAGCAAAAAGTAAATCTAAAGTTAGGAAAAAAGCAAAGTGGTTCACCTCGATAGAAAATGCTTTACTACAGAACCCAGAGAGTAGAGAAATTAAAAAGATCTACCAAACACAAGGCCCAAACAACCTCACACTTGTAATGCCACTTGTAACAATTTCACCAGATAAAAAGAAAAAAGAATAGATCCTAATAGATAAAAAAAACAACGAACTAGAGCCAAGAAAGATCATCAAGAAAAGTAATCATAAAATTCTCACAGAACATTGGATACCTAAAGAAAATAACACATTATCAGACTATCTAGAAATAGAAAAACCAAATAGAGCACTATTAATAGAGCAGGAAGAAGGTTATAGTTAGATTAGCCAAAAAAAAGTGCGAATAGTAATTTCAAAACTGATACAAAGAAAGAACCAAAAATATATCTCCAGATATATAGATATCCTGCCAAGCAATCCTAACAAACTCAAAACATCCAAACCTAGTAGAGAAGAAATAATGCTCTATAGTTTGCAGTGTATTGAACACTTGGATAAGCAGCTAATAATAGATCAAGATTTCGAAATATCTCTAATGAATTGTTTAGAAAATAGTTTAGAATTTAATACAAATAGTAGTAAAAATTGTTTTTGGGTATATACTGATGGTTCATTAAGGCATGAAAGCGATAGATGTAGTATGGGTGCTAGATAGGTACAAGTAGACGAAAAACAAGAAATCCTACTATAGGAAGGTTGTGCAAAAATAGAAAATTGGCTATCATTGACAAAGCCCGAGCTTATCGCAATCTGGCTAGCTCTATTTACTATGCCATCAAGTTGTAATATCTATGTTTACTCAGACAGTACAGCAGCAATTGCTAATATCAAAAAGATCAAAGATAATTGGAGATTTAACAAAATCTATAAAGAAAAGAACTGGGATATTTTAATTAAAATCATAGATCTTCTCAAAGCTAAAAACATTAATCTGGAGCTTAAAAAGATTAAAGGTCATAGCAACAACAAATGGAATGACAAAGCAGACCTACTAGCAAAAAAAGCTACTTTGTTAGCTCATTCGACAAACATTCATGCAGACCGCAATACCAGAATTACATTTTTTCTCTTCTGGAATAATCACAAAGTTGAAAAATCAACCAGACTATTTCTAAAAAAGATTTTAAAAACTTGGAATGGTACTAACTGGAGACTAACAGAGACAATTCTGGCTCTAGAACTGGAAACAGACAATCCCAAGTTAGACTGGCATACGTACTGGAAAAGAATCAAAAAATTAAAGGGAGTTAAATATAACACATTACAAAAGAGTAAAAAACTTGCAACACAACTAAAGTGTCTCTTGAAAAACTTACCAGTACTCAGAACTTTGGCAATGAGAAGACCAGATATTTATACAGGTGGTAAATATATAGCCTGCAACACTGGTACATTAGAAATGCAAGACCATTTAGCTGTATATATGATTACAAAATAATGTAGCAAAATATAAAGAATACAGCAATTGATTTAGCCTGGTCCAAACTCATGAAAGAAGAAAAATATCGCTACCCAAAAAACACTCTCTGCAAAATCCTTATTAGAGACTTGGAAGCTATTAAATCAGAAAAGAGAAGGTTATAGATCAAAGGTCTAACTACTGCAGAATCATTCAATAAAATCAAGAACTTTCTAAACTCAACAGAATTGGCCTCACATATAGTAGAACTCACAGCACACATAATGTAGAATGGTTTTTATGATTTTATATGGAGAGACAGATGCAGCAATGTCATAGAATGGGGAAAAAGACAAAATATAAAAAAGACAGACAAAAGAAAAAAGAAAGAAAAATTAACAAAACTAAGAAAGCTTCTGTCCAGCAACTTGAAAAGAAAAGGAGTAAAAGTGAGAAAAAAGAAAGAAAAAGATAATGAAAGTAAAGAAAAGAAAAGAGACAAGATATCAGCAAAAGAGAAAAAGATACAAAATGTTTGGAGTGATACTATTTTAAGTTGGATACAAAAGGGTGAAAACCTCTTTTAGACAAGTTCATAAAAAGAACTTTTTTTTTAGCTTATCTGTAAGCCAATGCGATAGGTTGCACCTTGTACTACAAGCAACTAGGTGAAATCGGGTTCTAATTTAGTCTTAGTAAATAAAAGTATAGATATAAAATTAAATGTACTTAAAACTAAGAAGTCAAGCCATGGCAAGATCTATCAAAGAAATAAAAAAAAAAATAAAAAAATAAAAAAAATCTACCTAAATATTAAATAATTGACTTGTATATTATTTTGAATATGTTTATATATATTATTCAAAATAAAAGTAAATTTTTAAAATTCAATATAGTCAATCTTTTATAAATAAGTAAAAGTGTATTTATGAATGAAGAATAATCTATATATAATAATAAAGCTGTTTTACAATATTT